TATGTAAAGAAAAAAAGATTAATTCTCTTTAGTTAGCAACACACTCGAAAGTGGTATGCAGTGTGTATGAAATACAATGATGGCGATTAATTTCTCGAGACGTTACGGAGCATTTGGCATGTCTTTTCAGTCAGTGGCGAACGCATGACACGGGGTGTTATTTCGCGGGTGCGGTGTGGAATTCATCTGTCTGCGGCACGATTGTGTCCGAGAAGAGTCGCTCGGGGCGTCCACGGAATTGCGCGGCGACGTGGCGAGGTAGATAATAGCGCGATAGAAAACAGCTGATCCACTTTAAGCGTCCTTTTTGTCTTAAAGCGTCCGCGGTAAACAATAATTCACGCTTAAATGCCCTTTCAGCGCCGTTTTCCCATTGTGCGCGCCTCGCGTTCGGAGATTTATTTGTGCGAAACTTTTGTACAAGCACCACCGGTCTTCCTTGATAGTGCGGTTTTCGCTATTTTGCTGTAGGACCACGCCACAACAACAAAAGGCCGCCGCAAGGCTAAAACGGATGTCCCTGAAGTACCTGTGTGTATCCACACAGGTATCCGCGTGCTTCTCCTCCCCCCCCCCTCTCCCTCCCCCTTTCCTTCCCCTTCTGACGTGCACACAATTAACTCGGACTCAACTACTGAATGACCCGACGAGACGACAGTTATAAATTACATGACGAAGTTAAGCCACAGGTTAATTACACTGTATTCGCTCCCGGTTGTTATCCGCGTTATATATAAAAAAAATAAGATAGATTCTTTGCCTCAAGTGCGCACGATGCGTTCGCCAACGAAAGAAGTTTTGTATTTATGTAACAAGTTTGATGACCAACCGCAAACTCAGTCGGGGCGGGCGATTTGCGATGGCACACGACTTCTTACATTAATTATCGCCAACTAAAACTTCGGTACTGTATCACTTTAGGCGACTTGATTTAAGGAGATACACTTTTCGAAATTACGCTCTTCAACTTTCATAAGGGCTTGCATATCGCGAAGTAATGCAGTTCTCTTGCTGCGCACGGCGTTGTGTAGGAAACTTCGCACTTTACGCTTGCAGTATTAACTTAATATAAAAGACATGGAATTCTCAAACGAGTTTATCAGGATCGGTTCAAACAATAAATTCGTTTAACTTGCAATTTCATTGCAAGTAACGCAACGAGAAAGAATTGCTCATTTTAACTAAATGAATTTTAGTTGTTTTTATTTCTCTCGATACAGAATACTTGTATTTAAGTCAAACATCATATTTGACTTAAATATATACATTTTTCAACGAAAGAAATGGAAACCATTAAATTTATTCAATTGAATGAACAATTGTTTTTTCAGTGTATATATATATATATAGTTCCATATAAAGTACCACATAAAAAACAAATAGTGAATATATATATTCATAATACTTAATGTTATTGACTATTTGTTTTTTTATATGGTATTTATATGTGTTAGTAGTAGCTAAAATGAAATGTACGAAAACGTGTAAGTATGCAAATAAACTCGCGGAAACGAGTCGTTTTTTATACAACCAATATTTTTATTCTATTGGCATAATATTTAACAGTTTGTTTTCTCTAAAACAGCTGCAAACACACTTTATCTATCATTTAATTAGCGCGAACGCAGTTTTTGTTTGGAGTACTTCAATGGTGTGAAATAAAAGCAAATCAACAGTTGTTGAAATTTATATCATCAGATGCTTGTTAGTTGCTTTTTTTTTTTAAATAAATGAGGTCATTGCATAAAATGCATAGTAATTCTTGATTCACAAATAAACAACCATTAAAACAATTTTAATTTTATAATTTTTCAAAATATAGATGTAATCCGCATTACATATTTCAATATCTGTTAATCGAGAAGTTCAAAACAAATTTCATATTTATTACGTATTCACAAATAACAGATAGTACAAGTACACGGGCAAAAAAAAGATCGAGTGGTACAGAAAAGCTATAACTAACTGCGCGAAT